GCCTTTTTTAAAAAAAAAAAAAAAAAAAGCTAAATGAAGACTAAGAGTAGAGAAAATGGAGAAATAAAAGGAAAAACAGACTTGAGTACTAAAAAATTTAAAAACTTGTAGGTCAGGGAACAACATTGAAAGCGACATCGAAAGCAATTTTAAGAAAACTGAGACAAAGAGTTGCCTTAAATCTGCTTGACAAACCGTTAATGTAATGACCTTGTATAAATCTTTAACATTACAGATTTCTTTCCCTGCCCACCTTGCCCCGTAGTAGTAAGCATGGCTGTATACAACAGAATACACAGTGACTTCAGTGAGATGGCTGATGTGAGCAAAGTCTGGAGATGATTAGCAGTGCAAGGCAGGTTGTAGTTCCATGAAGTCACCAGCAACCAGGCTCTTTGCAGTTTAACTATTCTACCATTCCCAGGGTGGCCTTCGTCCTCCTGTTCCTGCCAGAGCAAACAGCATCACATCCATGTTCCTGGCAACAGAAGCAACAGAGGGGAAGGTGAGAGTGTCCTTCCCTTTTAAGGGTATATTTGGGAAGTACCACACAACCCAGCACTTGTCTCATGCCCCACCTGTCTAGTCCTGTCTCACGTCTGGAAATGTGCCCAGCTTTAAATTGGGACTTACTAGTACAGTGAGTAAAGGATTTTGGGTAACAATTAGCAGTCTCGGGCCGGCCCGGTGGTGCACTGCTATAGTGCGCCGCTTGGGAAGCGCAGTGGCGCTCCCACCGAGGGTTCGGATCCCACATACAGACCAGCCGCTCACTGGCTGAGCGAGGTGCGGGGGCAACGCCAAGGGTTGCGATCCCGTTGCCGGTCCCGGTCCGGTGCGGGCGCGACACTGAGGGTTGCGATCCGTTGCCGGCCACGAAAAAAGACAAAAAGGAAAAAAAAAAAACAACAATTAGCAGTCTCTATCATGCTCCCAATAGAAGAATGGGCAAAGGTGTGTAAAGTTAGGGTACTCTGGGTTAACCCCCACTTCTTAAGTGGCATAAAACACAAAGTTGGATTTCTGTATTAGGCTCCATGTCCATTGAAGGTAGGTAGGGGGTTCTAGTAACTGTTGATAATTTACCAAAAGAATGCATATAGGAGGCTAATGAACATAGTAAGAATTCATAAGAAGTTCAGTCTCACCAGTCAAAAGACATGCAAATTAAAATCAAAATGAAATGCAGTATTTTACCTATTAAATCATGCAGGATTTAAAAAAATGATAAAACTCAGTCATGATAATGGTGAGGTGAGAGGAGCATTCTCATAAACTGCTACAATCTTTCTGGAAGGCACTGTGGAAATGGAATATTTAGTATTCCTATTTTCTGAAAGCTGAAAATAATGGTTCACAAAGCCTTGGATATTGCTATCTGGACTTGTATACAAAAAATTTGCTAAACCCTGAGTTACAAGATTACAAAAATTATTTATTGGAGGAGAATTATAAAAAATTCTTAAAAATTAATAATTTAATTTAAAATTTGGAATAACATTCACACACAGCAATAAGGAAATGGTTAAATAAATTAAGCTATATTCATGAAGGATCTAAAAAGTTTTTTGAGACATTGGAAATGACCCAGATATCCATTGTCAGGAGGCTGGATATTTAAATTGTCTCTTCACACAAGGCAACAACAGGATTACATATAAGAAACAAAGATGAGTGGAAAAAGCAAAAAATCTCCAAAGCTTTCGTATGTATTTTAAACATTATGACTCATTAAAGATATCTCCTTTTTAAAGAAGAAAAAAAAAAAGCAAAAGGTTTTTGAAGAACTTTGAATGACAAAAATTCTCGCTGTATAGTAAGGGAAAATATTAGAATGCAAATGAACTTATATGATGTGCTTCCAGCGACATTTGAAGTTTATAGTAAAAGTCCTATAATCCAGTTGAGCCCATAGTTTGAAAGTAACCTGTTAGGTCCTAGTGGTTGATGGGGGGAGAAGGGGTGTGGAGGTTCCTCTGTTAGCCAGAGGGGACGTGGTTGTGGTGTGTGTCAGTGACTGGATCGCAGGAGGACTGGCTTGCCTGCCATGTTAGGGGTTATGTTTGAGGAGTCCTCAAAATAATGACTGTCTTTCAGAGGAGATTTTGAAGAATTTAACACTGAAGTGAACAGGTTTTCCAGGAGCTTTTTTTTTTTTTTTTTTAAATTATAGTGTCCTCTCAGAAACTTGCATCAGAAAGTTTACATTAAGAAGAAATATAGGAATGAGTACATGTCAGTAAGGATATCCCAGGGCTGAAGAGTTTAGTTTATGAGCAAATTATTCAGGCATTTACTTTTAACATACTTGGTTACTTAAGTCAGCGTTTGTTGGCATTACGAGAAATGGAAAATGTGAATCAGTGGAGAAGAAAAACTGGGTAATTGTTAAGTTGCCTCTGGAAGGACTTACATTGTAATTTTCACAGTCTCAAAGATGAAGCCGGAGTAGGAACTAGCCATTAATTTTCCAAAGCAATTATGGAAGCACAAATGTATTGAGCATCTACTGTATGCCAAGCACCAGGGATAGAGCAAAATGACATAGTCTAATGGGAGGCAGATGGTGACCGGATGATATCAGATGATGGTAAATGCTATGTAGAGATTTAGATACAGTACGATCAGCAGAGAAATAGGTTGTAGAAGAGCTTCAAAGTCCTGATTCTCTGCTTTCTATTAGATGATGTCTCCATTCCACATTTCAGGTTATATGTCCAGGCAATTTTGTTAAAAATCAGTGCTAACCTAAATATTTCATGTAATGGTATGAATATAGAAATCAAAATGGAGCTGGGGATAAAGTAACACTGTACTTTTTAAAGGAAACTTTTTTCATAATATCCCTTTTTTACTGTTCATTACTTTTCACACTCCTTAACAGGACTCTAGTATGGGATTCCTTTTTACTTACAGTACCCTGCCCACTGGCCAGAGTATTTCATCGTTGCAGAGGCATCTGCTGAATTAATGGTTACAGTAAGTATAACACCACTAGTACTTTTTTGGGTAGGTAGTTAAGATTTTAATATAAGTTTCAACCTAATTGTTTTAGACTGCAGAATTATAAGTATAATCATGCCTGTAATTTTATTTCCTTTTCAGTCATTCAGCAACTTACTGATCTCTTCTTTGTGTTAGGTGTTGTGCTAGGCCCAGCAGATAAAGCAGTGAACCAACAGACAGACATGGTCTTAGTTTTCTTGGATCTTTTATTCTATACTTATGTTAAATTTTTACATGGTTTATGAGGGTACTTAAGAAAGTTCGTGGAAAAATAGAGTTAAAAGATAATACAACTCTTTCCATGAACTTTTTGAAGTACTCTCCTATTTGGTACATAATGCAGGGATTGTAGAATCTTCATTGAATTAGTACA